AGTGCAACCAGCAGGACTGTAGCTTCCTATTCTACCGAGGGAGAGGAAGTCAGCCCCCCCCCCCCCCCACACACACATTTTGAGAAGTGAGTCGCTCACGTTCAGGGATAAATCCGTTTCCTGGCGTATGTTTGGTGCAGAAGTCTATTTTTCGCTATTGAGCCCTTTTCTCCAACTCATTTGGCGATTATGCCCCCGTGCATCTTCAGCGTTGCGTCCAACGGCACGCCTCTGATGCAGAGTGTTTCATAACACCAAACCTTTCAACAACTACCTGCCAACAGGTATTCAACACTTCTCTAGATCATCACGCTACATTCCTGATCCTGTCACGCTATATTAATGTGTTCAGGTTAAGGCAGTTATTCCAGACGGCATTGATGACGGGTGGGTAAACTTTTTTCTGAAAGAGGCGTGCATTACACCAGAGCATGTGAATTTCGCCATTCGTGCATGATCAAGGTGACCCCTTCGTGGCAATAGTCGCTGCGCGCTGTTTGTCAGCCGTCACTGACCAGACTGAAAAACAGACCTGCCATGCTTCTAACCCGTTACCTATGATGCCGTGCAAAGCAAAATAAAAACGTCACATTTTTGGCAAATCAGACCCAATCGTTTCCGCCAATGAAAGACAGAGAAAGACAGAGACAAAGACAGAGAGACAAAGAAAGACAGAGACAGAGACAGAGACAGACAAAGACAGAATTGGACGAGTTACTTCCTGACCGTGACTATCCCTCCACGTTACTCCCTAGCCGCAGGTACTACTTCACATTACGCCCTAGCCGTGGCTACTAGTCCGCAATCACTGTCCGCGAAATGACAGCTGTCACTTTGGTGAATGTTGGGGCTAACTTGTTCGAAATAGCATTAGCTGGTGACGCTGAAAGGACGCAAAAAAATGAGCTTACAGATGGTAGCACCGCTGCGCGGAAACATCTCGGTAAAGGAGCAGTGAGCGTTTTTTAGGGGCAGTTCAGTAGCATGGCCCATGACGCTCCATCTCAAACTGGGGCGCGGTGGCTTGACCTACCTCGCTGACAGTGTCGAGTAACAGGTCACCATCCAGAGACGGTCGGTACGGAGCAGTTCCTTGATCTACCCTCGCAGACAGTGTCGAGTAACAGGTCACCATCCAGAGACGGTCGGTACAGAGCAGTTCCTTGACCTACCCCGCTGACAGTGTCGAGTAACAGGTCACCATCCAGAGACGGTCGGTACGGAGCAGTTCCTTGATCTACCCCCGCAGACAGTGTCGAGTAACAGGTCACCATCCAGAGACGGTCGCCTCAGAGCAGTTCCTTGACCTACCCCGCTGATAGTGTCGAGTAACAGGTCACCATCCAGAGACGGTCGGTACGGAGCAGTTCCTTGACCTACCCCCGCCGACAGTGTCGAGTAACAGGTCACCATCCAGAGACGGTCGGTACGGAGCAGTTCCTTGACCTACCCCGCAGACAGTGTCGAGTAACAGGTCACCATCCAGAGACGGTCGGTACAGAGCAGTTCCTTGACCTACCCCGCAGACAGTGTCGAGTAACAGGTCACCATCCAGAGACGGTCGGTACAGAGCAGTTCCTTGACCTACCCCGCAGATAGTGTCGAGTAACAGGTCACCATCCAGAGACGGTCGGCTCAGAGCAGTTCCTTGACCTACCCCGCAGACAGTGTCGAGTAACAGGTCACCATCCAGAGACGGTCGGTACAGAGCAGTTCCTTGACCTACCCCGCAGACAGTGTCGAGTAACAGGTCACCATCCAGAGACGGTCGGTACAGAGCAGTTCCTTGACCTACCCCGCAGATAGTGTCGAGTAACAGGTCACCATCCAGAGACGGTCGGCTCAGAGCAGTTCCTTGACCTACCCCGCAGACAGTGTCGAGTAACAGGTCACCATCCAGAGACGGTCGGTACAGAGCAGTTCCTTGATCTACCCCCGCAGACAGTGTCGAGTAACAGGTCACCATCCAGAGACGGTCGGCTCAGAGCAGTTCCTTGACCTACCCCGCTGACAGTGTCGAGTAACAGGTCACCATCCAGAGACGGTCGGTACAGAGCAGTTCCTTGATCTATCCTCGCAGACAGTGTCGAGTAACAGGTCGCCATCCAGAGACGGTCGGTACAGAGCAGTTCCTTGACCTACCCCGCTGACAGTGTCGAGTAACAGGTCACCATCCAGAGACGGTCGGTACGGAGCAGTTCCTTGATCTACCCTCGCAGACAGTGTCGAGTAACAGGTCACCATCCAGAGACGGTCGGTACGGAGCAGTTCCTTGACCTACCCCCGCAGACAGTGTCGAGTAACAGGTCACCATCCAGAGACGGTCGGTACAGAGCAGTTCCTTGACCTACCCCGCTGACAGTGTCGAGTAACAGGTCACCATCCAGAGACGGTCGGTACGGAGCAGTTCCTTGATCTACCCTCGCAGACAGTGTCGAGTAACAGGTCACCATCCAGAGACGGTCGGTACGGAGCAGTTCCTTGACCTACCCCCGCAGACAGTGTCGAGTAACAGGTCACCATCCAGAGACGGTCGGTACGGAGCAGTTCCTTGATCTACCCCCCGCAGACAGTGTCGAGTAACAGGTCACCATCCAGAGACGGTCGGTACGGAGCAGTTCCTTGATCTACCCCCGCAGACAGTGTCGAGTAACAGGTCACCATCCAGAGACGGTCGGCTCAGAGCAGTTCCTTGACCTACCCCGCTGATAGCGTCGAGTAACAGGTCACCATCCAGAGACCGTCGGTTCAGAGCAGTTCCTTGACCTACCCCGCTGATAGCGTCGAATAACAGGTCACCATCCAGAGACGGTCGGCTCAGAGCAGTTCCTTGACCTACCCCGCTGATAGCGTCGAGTAACAGGTCACCATCCAGAGACCGTCGGTTCAGAGCAGTTCCTTGACCTACCCCGCAGACAGTGTCGAGTAACAGGTCACCATCCAGAGACGGTCGGCTCAGAGCAGTTCCTTGACCTACCCCCGCAGACAGTGTCGAGTAACAGGTCACCATCCAGAGACGGTCGGTACGGAGCAGTTCCTTGACCTACCCCCGCCGACAGTGTCGAGTAACCGGTCACCATCCAGAGATGGTCGGTTCAGAGCAGTTCCTTGACCTACCCCGCTGATAGCGTCGCGTAACAAGCCACCATCCAGAGATGGTCGGTTCAGAGCAGTTCCTTAACCTACCCCGCTGATAGCGTCGAGTAACAAGTCACCACCCAGAGATGGTCGGTTCAGAGCAGTTCCTTGACCTACCCCGCTGATAGCGTCGAGTAACAAGTCACCATCCCGTTCACAGCAGCGACTGCCATTAGACAAGTTTTCTCCGGGCCTTGAACGGGGCGGTGCCGTCACAGGTACGGAGAGTTCGATGCGGCACGGTCGCTAACCGTGTCCCATGCAGGCAAGCAGCCAGTTTGAATGCAGTCCACATGACGCCATAGGAGGCATAACGTGTGGACTCAAGCTTTCTGTCGCAAAATTACGATGCTTTAACACTTTTTGAGAAAAGCAAATAGCATGCCAACGTGCCGTGTCTTTTATTTCACCGCCCTCGATCGTTTTCTGATATCCATTGCAGGTTTCCAAACACCGACCAAAACACCGATCGTTTTCGACGATGTATGGTGCTCGTATTTCATCAGCCAATGGTTCGAGGACCAGGACACGCAACTCTATCAGATACGAGGTGGCAGACGCTGGCTCATACTCGGATCCAGATGACAGCAAATATTTTGCATATTCAACAAAAGAATGCCTTTGCACGGCGTCGCTGACATTTCGGTACACTGTCCTTTGCCTTTCAGGCATGCGATTTTCTATCAATCGGAGGGACGAGGCTTTCGTAACCATTTCAAACTAATTATGTGCAGCGTTAAAAGCAGGCAGGAGTCTTTAAAACCTTGCTGCGTACTCCCTCGCAGTAAAAAAGGGCCCGCCAAAATGAGTTCTAGGGATAAATGCATTATTAGTGCCAGCGCTATCTAATGAGAATAGAAAGATGCAAACAAGTATCACACTTTCTGGAATCAAACATCATACCTATGGCAAATGCATGAAAAAGATTGTCAAAAACTTAAGCATGCAGTATCGGGGCATAATAAATATACGCCCTACTGCATACTTTCTAAATGTATGTACGAAAACGTATATAAAACGTACATTTAATGGCATATACCTTAGTGTGCTTCGCGTTTGTTAGACTACAATCTAGTGCATGGTTTGGACCCGTGGTGGAGACCCTGACGTGGCTCCGCCCAGCCAAAAAGTCGTTATCATGTGTGTTGGACAACAGCACGGCTGTAAGCACTACAAGGGAAAGGTGGTTTTCGTACGATACATATTGGCAAGCTTGTAAGAGTTTTTCAAATGTGTTCCACATACCAACAATGGATTTATGGCTTCACATCGCTACAAAACCCAGAATAATTGGATGGCTGTACGACAATGTTATGACACCACAGGCACCATGATCTACATCACGCAATACAAGCATACCTTACGGAAAAAAATCAGTACAACAGTCAAATCGGAATAATTCAGTTAGAAATCCTCACACCGGCAAAAGCGCACTGAACCATTGCAGGTCTGTTTCGGGGCTTGATCGAAGGACGTCGAGGGTGGTCATCAGGTCACGCCACGCCATCACGCACGTGCTGCTGGGTCCCAACAGCACACACACCCTGATCGAAGGACGTTGGGGATGGTCATCAGGTCACGCCACGCCCTCACGCACGTGCTGCTGGGCCCCAACAGCACGCCCCTCCTGATCGAAGGACGTCGGGGGCGGTCATCAGGTCACACCACGCCCTGACGCACGTGCTGCCGGGCCCCAACAGGACGCCCCTCCTAATCGAAGGACGTCGGGGACGGTCATCAGGTCACGCCACGCCCTGATGTACGTGCTGCTGGGCCCCAGCAACTCACTCCGCCACGGCCACAGAGCGACGGCTGTGTGGCAACCGTCAGCAAGAAGGGACGCGGCCGCCGCGCCAACCCACCTTCAAACTTCTCGTAGTGTTTAAAGTCGAGTTTCTCCGGCAGGTAGCGCGGTCGGACGACCTTCTGACCACTGGCCGTGTGCGTGAGGCTGGCCACCTTGCGTAGGACGTTGGAATCGCCAAACACGCCGGCAGAGCTGCGCCGGTGCGCCTCGACGTCTGCACCTGAGAACGAGGACGGAACACGCTCAGCACGCGGCGCCAGGCGAAACGCCACACTCTTCTTACGGTGACAGACACTCGGTTGAAAACAGCGGTCAACGGCTCATCAGCGCCACTGTCAGATCTGCTTTGTTCACGAATGTACGTGGCAAGCTGCGCCATCCGGATTCGGATCATGAGAAAGCACAACCCTTGCCACGGCCCGCCCGAACGCGTCATTAGAGCGTGGGCCACGTTTCACAAGAGACGCCACGGCCTGAGAATGGTTGCCCGACACTGGTCAACCAGACCTCTCCGAGACAGCGTGCTTCGCAGTGAACGACTCTACGTCAATGACATACTGGGCGTTCCACATGGGCACAAACACAAGCACGCGCGTGTGACAGTGTCCGCAGATAAAACAAAGCCGAAAAATGGCGGCCTGGTCCAGCCGTTTCAAATGAAGGACGATGAGCTATTCGGACAGAGTCATTGGGGCCGTGCCGGAACCACGACAAGTGCAGCTGGACACCAGCCGGATCCGGTCCGGTCCGCCTCCGTCATCATGACGTGGCTACAGAGGGGGACGGGGCGGGCGCCGGAACCGGGGAAGAAGCAGCCCGATGCGGCCCAGCCCGCCTTGCGTCATCAGGACCAACATGTCGCCGGTGGTGTCAACCGACGCGGAACTTCCCCGTCGCTGAGATCGACATCGAAATGGCGTCCGCTTACTCATGGCGCTGGAATGCACTCATTTCGACTTTCCTTACCGCGGAGTCCGAATACATTTAGCCCACCCGTGACAGCGGAATGATACTGTCGTCATCAACGGAAGGGTGGTCGAGGAACTGCTATCCCAAGCAAGAGCGTGTTGACCTGTTTTGGGCGTTCATGCAAAAACCGGCTTTGATTGAGAACATTCATCAATGCAGCTGCAACGTTGTAGTGTATTCATGCCAACATACCGCGCGGTTGACACCCTGTCGCCAAAACCATCTCCCCTTCCCCGCCCACACTGCAACATCCACCAAAGGAATCTGCCATCGGACTACCAGACAGTATCCAGTATGAGAACCCATTCCCAGTTTATCTCGTTGCCTTGCCTGAGATATGTTGTAAGATATAAGATGCCTATGATACATGAACCGTGTGGAGATACAAGCCATGCTATGAGATATTGAGCCGTGTGGTCCATTTCAGGTGTCCAGGGGTAAGTTTCGTTTTCAACAAAGACCATACAGCAGGCAAATATTTGTTACAACATACAAAAACAAACATCTACAAATAGCCACTGACACACTGATTGATCATAGACTGTAGGGCTTAAAGATGACAAACACTTTGCTTTTAAAACAATGACCCCGCTTGATTACGCTGACCTGACATCGTAAACAGACTCATTTACACTGTCCTAATATTTTACAGCATCCAATTCGTTCATTCACACCACCATACCAACCATTTCACAGAAAAAAAAAATGTATTGGGTACGCTAACAATCAAATCCATTGTTTTAAAAACGGAGTACCTTTCTAAAACGCGCAATGAAAACTACACATGGCACATGCATTCCATACATGGACCATGTCGGGGAAACAGCGAGTAGTTCAAGAAAGTAGGTAGCCTCCAGACGGTGGGGCACCAAAAATTGAAGAAATATGTACTTTTGTAAAGTTTCCATTATCTTCTGTGTATGTGACCCCACATTTGTTTTCTTTCTTATCTACAAAACTTTCGCAATTAACAACAAAGATAACGAGAACAATACATGACAACTTTGGGTGTATCCAACAACACCAACAACGGTGTCACTTGTGTATTTTTGGGGATGCTGAGCCCCCTATGCTGACTTTGAGGCCAGTCAATGCTTTTTTGAGTCCCTCCCAAATGCATATGAGCAAAATGGGGAATACTAGGTCAATCAAATGCATGAGGTATCTAAACTGCTGGTACACTAGGCACCCAAACACACATCACTATCAATACAACCATCTTCATGTTTTCTCATTGTCATTATCACATTATCTTCAAAAGGGAAGTCGTTCTTCAGCATCAAACCGATTTTGTAGCCGATCAAACCATTGTATTTCAAATTTGACGTCGGACGCGCCCATTAAAGTGGCTGAAATCCGGGAGTCATCAGGATCTTGGGGCAGGGTAAGCCAACTTAATTGGCTTAGCCCCTCAACCAATTTTATAAAGTGAGCACGACGAAAATGTTCCGCGACTGACACACCGCGAGCGAGCCCAGTGGCCGATGAAACAAATTACTTCCACGAGGGCACGCTACGCTGACTCAGACCTAATTTGACCGAGGCGTGAATATGCTGGGTATGCGGCTCGTGTTAACAGGGACAACTACAGCCGATGAGTTGCTGCGTGTCAATCTGGAATCGGTTATCCCCCCCCCCCCTCCCGGAGCATAAAACGACAGGAATTTGCAACGTTATCATGCCGCAAAAACAAACAAAACTCAGGTTACCTTATATTAGCCCAGAAGCGCATGGTTCATGTGGCAGTAGCCATGAAGCTGACAGGACAGGCACGTTAGTACCGGTCCACAGTTACACAGGTACTGACATCGGGTGCTGTAAGACCATCCGTAACGCCAATGCGTGGGAAAATGAACTTTGAAAAGCATTGGCTGCCAAGACGCGCAGCGTATAGCGGGGGAGGAGTGTTGCGAAAGCAGATATAACGAGGTAATAGTTTAATATTCTCCTGTATGGGTGCAAGACAAGAACAGTAGTACGGCAATCAACTGGTAAGAACCATCAACTGGGAGAAATTGCTCAGCAAGCAAGCAAACGCAGTGAGTGCTTCAGGAAGCCAAAAGCAGGGCATTAAAAACACTCCAGAACCCTGATCACTGCTAAATACATGGCATGGCAATGAGGAACAGTATTCACGCATTGCAAAGCCCCATCCGTATCAACAATGTCAGACACCTGTCTTTTGATTTGTCACAAATCCTAGCTCCCGAATTTCGGCAGCTAAGAAATCGCGTCGACAATCTCATCATTCCAGCCGAATGTAGCTTCGTAAGTGGCTAAACTGAACCGCCAAACCCGGATTTTGCCTGCTTCTCAGGACACTATCCACGGTAAAACTGCCAGCAATCCAGCCAACAGAGAGATCCACGGACAACAAATTCCATTCCGTCCCAGCCCTCATTATTCCGCGGTGATCATGCATGAGCTCCTCTCCGGTGGCTGGTTCGGGGTCGCTCCCTTGCGTCTCTGGGGGACCCGCTCGCTCGTAATCGCAGGCGTGCACCCGACGAGGCGTATGCTAGCCAGCTCTAGCCAGGGGCGTGTTTGTACCCGTTCGCGGTCGTATGAAATCGTCAGGCCCAGTTCGCTGTCACAGGTCATTCTATACCCCGGTTCGCAGTCGTGTGGAATCGTCCACCTCAGATCGCTGTCGCAGGTCACTCTGTACGCCGGTTCGCGGAGTGTAATACTGTCCGCCTCCAACCGTCCACGTCAGATCGCCGCCGCATTTCCCTCGATTGACTTTGAAGCGTTTTCATTTAAGTTGCTGCATATGTACCGTCTATAGTCACAGAAGGCCTTGACACATCCGAATATGCGGTTTGACTGCCCTGTATGGACGAGATATCCTAAAAGAGTCGCCGCATATGGCTGGGTTTGACCACTGGCAGTGATTCGAACTGCCCAGCACGCACGAAATGCCAGTCTGGCACACTTTCAGCGTCGTTTGTGCCCATTTGCAGGCGCCACGTGCCACTCAAGTCCATCCAGTCTGAAGTGAGAGCGCCATCGCTTCTTCAACATGCAAAAAGTACGTCGAACGTCCAGACGTTATCTTGGTCGAGGACGCGCGATAGTCGTTCCTCAGCGACACCTGTCTGCTTTGGAATGTCTGTCGTGTTTCAAGGTTATGTTGGGACTAATGACATGGTCTGGGCTATTTTCTTGGTGAACGGCGCGAGACAGACATTGAACTCCAGTACACACGCGCGTTGAACTACGTCACCACCACCCACTAATGACGTCACCACCACTCGCTGAAGACGACACTGCTCGGCAAGCAGCATTACTTTATCCATTATGGCTATTTTGCTCATACGCCACAGCGTCTGATATCAAAACATCCTGTGCTGTATAACGTTGTCGATACTGCTGCACTAGCCATCACAAAGGTTGACATGTTTTCAGCCACCAGCGCCTGTCTACGTCTATAGAGATGGGCCAAGCGCTCGAGACGACGATGCGGTAAATAAACAAGCGGCATCCTTTTGGTGTCCAGCGGTCCAAGTAACGGACATGACAAATCAAACTTCCGGTTGACTGCCGCCCATGTTCCGCGTTGACGAAGTATCTGAAAGATCCGCTTTATTTAATCTATTGTTCCCAATTTGTGGGAGACAAAGCCTGCCCACATAGAGACCCACGTGATCTTGCCTAGGATGAAAGGGGATGTCATGCATTAGCAATTGTCTACGCACAACACGAATGACTCATTCAAAAGATACTGTACCACATGAACATTCCTTGAGACCATGCTGGGAAGCCTGTGCCACCAAGTTTGTCGACCGCGCGCCATCGGCTTCGTGTCGTGAGGGTCGGGGTGCGTCCTGGGATGCTGCCGGAAGCCGGTTGTTGCCGTGTGGGGCGCGGACTCGGGAGACGGGGGCGTTCCTCGACATCGGGCGGGGCGACATCCACACCCGGATCCCAGGTCCGTGATCGTATCGCGGGGTAACGGCTGCCTGCGAGCCCCTACCGCAGGACGTCTTCACGTCCGGGAGTCCACATCCGTGATACAATCACGGCAAAACGTCCTCCTTTGTTCAACTGGGAACCATCACAAATTGGACCGCTTTCCAGTCATGCAGCTGTTTGTTTTCCTGTATGAATAGCTGGACAAAATACACCATTTCGAACATCAGGAAAATATGAAGGCATAAAACTAACTGTAGTTATAGACAGTTATCGGTTATCGTTTACCCGTTATCAGGTCCTTCTACAAAAATGGCAGTCACCAATCCGGTGAGCAAC